CTGTTATGAATACAAGTCATTAGAAATACGTTTCCTAGCCTTGAAATATCCGTGCATGAGGTGACGAGCCTTATGAACTGGACAAGGTATTCCATTTTCATGCACTATAATAGTTAACGACTTGATTACTGCCTTGTTAATACTATGAGAGTTGTTCTCATAGTCGCATAACAGATGAAGAAAAATGGCTGTTGCTTTGAAAGAATTTTATCAGAAAAAATTGTTAAATAACTTCTCAGCGGCTGAACGAAAGTCATTGAGTTATGATATCTTTTCGGGATGTTTTTCGATAGTTAGTTTAACGACGGATTTTGCTGTCTCCTAGCGGGGTGACCGATGTTGAAGTAAATTTTTATGCGTCCGTTTTCTTTTCTAGTCTGACCTTCTGCCGCAAAAGTATAATGTCTTCAAAAGTCAACGTCTATCGGCCAGAGGCGCATGATATATCAAAAGCCTTTAACCTGCCGTGTTACGTCATAACTCCGTACAAAAACTTTATCAAGGAGGCATTACAAAGTTTTGATTAATATGTGACCTTTTGAAACGGGGCCGTTCAGATGACCTGACGAACAGAATTTATTACATCTAAATGCTGCCGACCAAATTTTGACGTCACAGGTGCTAGAGGATATCCTTCTCAGACTTGGATGAAAGCCCCGCGGAACGGGGTTGGCACCAGTGCCATTGTTCCGTTTCTTGGCGCACGAATGTTGACAGGTAGTCAACTGCAGGTGGCTGGGGTATAGTGGCAAATGTCAATACAGTGCTGGCTTTCAAGGAATGGATATTCAGTTAAAAGCTTGTGCAAGTTACTGTATCGAAAAGAGCATACAATTTGTTCAACACAGCGTAACTATCAGTTGTCCATTGATACGCGAATATCTTATCTTCTATTCAGGATCATGCCAACAAGAATGTATAATTTTGAACAATGTTACCACGCCGGGTTTTTAGATCTTTGCCATTCAATTGGTACAAGTAGTGATGTGATATGCTCTTTTCATTCTGACATCGTTCATCAAGTGCTGACCGTTTTTTCCGTCGGTCAAGCCTGGAAACGTTGTCCTTTGGACAGAGGGTAGAGGTTGCCGGTGAAAAATGATTTTCAAATATTAATTCGCAAAATACCCTCCAGCCCTCTGTCGATCCGTTCAGATTGCAGTTATTTGTTTATGTGTTTATTACATCACCTGGGTCGGCTGACAATTGGCGACAAATCGTGTTGTACAATACGTTGTGTTGTCATGTCGCAAAAACTTTTGCCACCCACCACCAGGACTGACGGTGCCTGCGGAATTCTGTACGGATAGTTTTCGTGTGGAAGTTTTCTAGTCTTGCCTTTGAAGAACTGCCGCTAACTGCAAGGCAGTGGTGGCATTGGTGGTCTTTTTTCTTGAAAGGGGCGGAGCGTTTCACTCGTCATGAGGCTGTCATCAGACGGTAGCATATTTTTTTTTAAGGAACGAACTCGTCGAACTCGAGAACCCAGCCAAGCCCTGGT